TCAGTGATGCTCGAACCAAATATATATATAAAAAATATTATACGATATGTACGGAGTTATATCCTTTTCATGAGAGGTTGTATGGCAAGGAAACGGAACAGTTGATTGTTTCTGAATCATGTGTTACATCTATTTGATGAATAAAATTCTAAGATAGGCCAAAGTCCAGTTTTAATCGTGTGTGTGTGTGTGTATGTATGTGTGGATGTCGTATATAAGGTTACGGAAAATTCAATAATCTGATTTTACATTCTTTGTCCCTTTATTTTGAACTTTGTTCAAACCATCAGATTTGAATCGCACTTAGGGAAGCACATACTATAATTATGTTTCTGATAAAATCAAAGTATTTCCCTTTTCTGCAAACCTGGCTACTTCAAAAGTATTTTCTTTTTCTTCTCAAATCTGGCTACTTCAACAGAAGGGGACCAGTGGGGTTGAGATTTGACTAAATCGATATTTATTAGTAAAACATTATTAAAACTCAAATTGTCAAAATAGATGTTTTGTCAACCATAAACCTGTTTCAGTTTTTAACTATTTTTCTCTAAAGGATACGGTATATTGGTGAATGTTAAATATTTTAAACCTTATCACCCCCTTCGCTATATTGGTCAATTAAGTCAATAAACTACAGGCATGTACATAAAGTAAAGCTGACAAAACTGAATTAAAAGATAATCATCAAGGAATCCATGTATAAGATTCTTAAAAAGTTTTAAAGAAATGAGACATAGTGGTCAATGAACGAATCTGATAGTTGCGCCAAATTGTTTTTTTTTCACCAAAATATTTAACAATCATAAAAATAATAAGATGATTTTGAAAGGATGTTTGACCTTTGTCTATATGAATATTCTTAATGAATGATTAGCTCAAAATAAGAAAATTATATAATAATGTTTAGTTTGCTAGAGAAAAGTTTTGAAAAGAATAATTTATGTTAAAAATTGCATCTTATACTGTTGCATGATTCTATTTTTTATTTGTTTGTGTGTTTCTTGAAAGTTTGATTTAACGCAGACACAAATTGAAAAAAAACACGGCCTTATTGCATAAAGTAGAAAACAAAAGAGTACGGTCGTTAATGTAAAATTAAAGTATGGGACAGCCCAACAAGTCTAGGAGAATATTGATCTATTTATGGGTTGTATTGGCTTATAACTAGCTTTCAGTACTGCGAGTACTCGTAGGTCGATACTTTGTGCCGTTTGTCTTTTTATTTGTTGTTTGTTTCGTGACAATCTGATGAGTCGAGCCATTTCTAACCGATTTTTACAGTTTGTTCTTGTGTTGTGCTGTTACACCACTGTCTAAGGTTAGTTAAGGGGAGTTGATCGCTCACAAATATGTTTAACCCTGCCATATTATATATATATATGTGTGTCTGTCCCAAGTCAGGAGTCTGTAATTCAGTGGTTGTCGTCCATTGTTGTCTGTTATACTTGTTTTTTGTTTATTGTTTTGTCATTAAATCAGGTTGTTATCTTGTTTCACATTTTGTCATGTCGGGGCCTTTTATAGCTGGATACACGGTATGGTATTTGGTCATTGTTGAAGGCCGATGACCTATATTTGCTTAAATTCACGTCGGATAGTTGGATAGTTATCTCATCGGCAATCATACCACATCTCCTTATTTTATAAAGACAAATACCAGTAAGCAAACAACCACGATAATATGAACACATGCCAACAAAGCGTGGGTACTATTTAACTTCAGACAATACTTAGCATATACTTCTCTGCGTAAAGGACTACAAAAAGGGTACAGGTTACAGGGGCGGATACAGCCATTTTTAAAAGGGGGTTCCCAACCCAGGATAAAGGGGGGGGGGGGGGTTCCAACTATATGTCCCCATTCAAATGCATTGATCGTTAAGAAAAAAAGGGGGGGGGGGGTTCCAACCCCCGGAACCCCCCTCTGGATCCGCCACTGGGTTATGGAAATTCACCATTTTTTACTGATGTCTTTCTATTGCGAACAAGATAAATAAAACAAATATGATAAATAAAACATGATAAATGGACATTACTATTAATCATGCAAGCATTGTTTAATCCAATTTACATTTGTATGGTGTAAAATGACTGGAAAAACAGTTCGATAAACTGTAAACTACATCCGCATAATTTGTTGTAGCAGCAAAAACATATACACCAGTATTGTTATTGACACTCTACAATGACGTGATTATTGGCGTTTACAAAACGCGGGTGAGAGTATATATGCAGCAAAGTAAAGCTTGGTTGCCTTATTCATTCAGAAAAGTAAAGCTGTATTGCCTTATTTATTCAGAAAGTTAAGCTTGATTGCCTTATTCATTCAGAAAAGTAAAGCTGGATTGCTTTATTCATTTAGAAAGTAAAGCTGGATTGCCTTATTCATACAGAAAAGTAAAGCTGGATTGCCTTATTTATTCAGAAAGTAAAGCTTGATTGCCTTATTCATTCAGAAAAGTAAAGCTGGATTGCCTTATTAATTCAGAAAGTAAAGCTGGATTGCCTTATTGATACAGAAAAGTAAAGCTGGATTGCCTTATTCATTCAGAAAGTAAAGCTGGATTGCCTTATTCATTCAGAAAGTAAAGCTTGATTGCCTTATTCATTCAGAAAAGTAAAGCTGGATTGCCTTATTCATTCAGAAAGTAAAGCTGGATTGCCTTATTCATACAGAAAAGTAAAGCTGGATTGCCTTATTAATTGAGAAAATTAAAGCTGGATGCCTTATTCATTCTGAAAAGTGAAGCTGGATTGCCTTATTCATTCTGAAAAGTAAAGCTGGATTGCCTCATTCATGCAGCAAAAATGTCATCTCATTACCGACTAAAACAGATCGATTGTGACATTTTCGCCTTTGAGGGCATCTAATCTGATGTTAGTAATGCCCATTAAATGTGCTTCATCGTTGTATTAAGCAAGGTTGGTATTTGAAGATGCACACACAGGTTTAATTTGCGAAGAACCACACTGATTCCAACAACAAATACTCCGAAGATGATATCAAAATACTGGACTTTTTGATTGACAACATTTTTGTTGTTGTTTGGTAGATTGATAGTTTAGCGACAATCGGTGTTACAATTGGTACTAACTGTGCACCACTACTGGCCGACTTGGTTTTGTATTCATATGAAGCAGAATTCATAGAGATCCTTCTTAAAGACAAAAAGAAAAAGTGTCTTGTAAAGTTCTTTAATATCACTTTCAGATATATTGATGATGATCTGTCACTTAATAACCTACATTTCAATGAGTGCTTACATCTCATATATCCTAGTGAACTTGAGATAAATGATACTACCAAAAGTAGACCTCCTTCAGACCTTGATCTTTCCCTCGATATTGACGACTTCCAACTATAAATCTTTCCAATTTCCAACTTCCCATTTCTCAGCAGTAAGATACCCTCTGCTCCGTGGTATGGCGTTGACATATCTCAGTTAATTCGTTACGCTCGTGCATGTTCACAATATACTGACTTCATTAACAGGGGTGTGCTCATCACACAAAAACTGCTCCAAAAGAGATATGAGGAAGAACGACTGAAATCGACACTACATAAGTCACAATCACAAATCGGATGATCGATACAATGTGTTGGTGCCTGAACATACTAGCGACATGTTCTCGTGATTTTAGATCTAATGATACCAGTATAGTCGTTTAATCTGTAATTTAGCCGATTGTGTATGTCCTATTCCCGATTGTGACATTTTGACAGAGTTTGGGTTTTTAGAAACAAATGTAAAACCAGTTCAGGTTTCGAACTAGTTCGTAACAGGTTTGAAAGAACAAATAGAGGTGTGTCAAACCGAAACCAGTTTAGAGACAACAAATACGCCCCTAATTCAGGCATACTTAGGTCACAATTTGAGTGACCTCTAGTGGTCCTTCTATAAAGCATGCACGATACTGTATGCCTCCTAGCTAGAATCTGGGAACAGTATATGTCAATATATATGTTCCTGCTAGAATACACTACTATAACTATATATAACTATATAAATGAAATGAATGAAGCAAAATGTACACCAACGGTCGGTTTTAAAAGTAACAAATAATATAAAAAAAAAATAAAAGGATTTCATGTACTGGTATTTTTTTTTTGTAAATAAAGTAAAGTTTATTTTACACATCTTGTTCCACAAGGCATTTTCATTGTAACATGTATGCGCCTTTGGTGGGTCGATGATTGAAGTCCAACGGCAACTATAACATGTTTATTCAGGATAATCGCATGATATGCATATATCAATATACAACGCGTACACGTCGAGCTCCAAGCCAACTAGTCTTTGCTGTGACCCTAAGATGTTTTGAGCCTAGCGCAGAAGCAGTAAAATGTTTTGATATGCTAGCGGATCGAAGCCACGACTCCCGCAGTCGAGGCCAGTATGCTACCAAGAGACACCCAGAATACACGACTTTGATAAATTATGTGAACGTGTATGGTATAGTTTCTTAAAGGTTGTATTTTTTTAATGACACGTCTTTGACATACAATGCATGGAAACTATATCCCATGTCCATCTGGTGTTTTCTGAGATGAACTGTTTGTCATTAGAGTTAAATTTGTCCTAATGTGTCAAAATAAATCCACTAAAAATATTGATAGCCCCCGATTTTGTACATGGCTAGAATGTATTTGCTTTCAAAAACCTTTTAGCTGAGACACAATTAATGTCCCATGAAAATAGCACTTCAATAAGCTGTGTCGAAACTTGTGCTATATCCCAAACTATATTTGTAATTTTCTTGACATACATTTACATACTTTTATTTTACAATGTGTGCAATTATAAGTAATCTAAAGAAATTTGTTATGTAGCAGAAAAACTAGGCAGTAATCAAGATGTTTTACAAGAGAAAACGATACTTCTTCACGGTGTCTGCAAATCATACAGAGAGGGTCAAAGTTCGATAAAGATCTCACAGACTGTGGTGTTTTATCTTTTTTCTCAGCTACCTAATTCCTCGCTTACTCTCTCTGTTACAGAAAATTGTTGCAGTTAGAGAGCTACGTCATCAAAAAATTTAAACGTGTCAAGTAGTCTGCAATTCAAACCTTCCGCCATTTTGAGGCACTACTGCTAGCTCGCTCCTGCTTTTTTTAAACAGGAGAAGAGAGTCGGTAGTCGCTTAAAAGCGGCAGAAAGCAGGAAAGGACACCGGACGAGCCTTTGACAGGCTTTAAGCTGAATGGAAAGATCCTGAAATGATTTAAGACGAAGAAAAAGGCAAAAGTTTTATTCCTGAAAATCATATGACAGGGATTGTGTCCGGGACTATGCGAAAATCTTTACATTCATATAGTTATTCCGCTTCCAGTTTCTTAAAGCGGAGTTCATTGATATTATCGCCAAACATGGAAATAGTTTTTATTTCAATTCTTTGTATAATTCCATCAGTTTTAGGAGCCGTTGTACCGTTTCCATCTGGTAAGTTTTAGTATGCATACTTTATTTTGCATTTCTTTCTTTTGAAGAAAACTTGTTTGGTTCTTTTTACCTTTTCCATTTTTGTAAAAGCTATCTAAGCATACATATGATAGTATTTCATGAAATTGATTATGCAAATTATGAAAATTGTACTTCTTTTCTTAGTGAACTTATTGCCCAAACTTCGCGTCGTTCTACGTATTGCAACCTAAAACATTAATTCATATAAGATTCGAATGGCATCCATTATAATTGAAGAAGAAGAAAAAAACGTAACAAAAGAAAAAAACGTAACAAAAGAAAAAAACTTCCAATATTTAGCGCAATTCATTCCATCACTGTCAAGACAAACAGCCGGCTTCATTTTTTCCCTTATGTTTCTGCTGTTATAACAAAAAAAGTTATTCCAGACAATCGCACAAATATTTTTCGGTGATAGATTAAAAAATATATACAAAACTACATTTAAAAGCTACGCCTAAAAACTAAATCTGTGGAGCGCCAACAACCAGCAGTACAATGACCTCGTTACAAAACATTTTTTTGTTAATGATTTATCCTGAATGTGTAGTCGTTGGTCAATCTCCCAGATCAATCAATGTAACTTGTGATCTCGAGCTTGTGATCGACTCTTTAAGAAAAGCTGAAGAAATGTTTTGTTTGCCACGTATACTTGCATCACGAGAGTAATCTTGATAAAGTGATATATTCAATATAAGTGTGAAGATTAAAACATATACGTGCACAGCATGGAAACACGTGAGGCATGGGATATGTCTCGCCTATTTTATTATAACATAAATTGATTTACGAGTGCTTGGGTTTGTTCACACAGTTTAACTGCTTATACAGCACTTTTTGGAAGTGTAACGTGGTATCAATTAACTTATGAAACATTTGTTTACCATTAGATACATCAAATTCAATAGACAGTGGCAAAAATGTACATTTTTTGAATTTTGTGGTTTTTTCAGGAGTCACGATGTTGAGAATATATAAGGTAGTGATTAATAACCACGAAGACATAACATAATCTTTCAATCAAAGTGAAATGAGTACCCGGCATGTAATAAAAAGATGTGTAATCACACTTTAAGGAGCTTGTACTGAAGTCCTTCCAAAAACAGTTCAGATGAATGATAACGATAAAGGCATGGCTCATTTGAAACATTGGTTATTTTATTGGAATTTTGTCTAATGGACACCCAACCTTACTTCCTTTCCCATATCAGGAAACTGCTTAAGGGTGTCTAGAGTTAAGAATATTATTTAAACATTTTGAATTACAAAATAAATCTCATCTTCAATTTTTTATACGACCACAACATTTTTGCGTTCGTATTATGTTATGGCGATGTTTTGGTCGTCGTCAGAATAAATTTTGGTTTTCAGACAATAACTTCAGTATAAGTGTATGGATCTCTATGTAATTGAAGCACAAGGTTCCATACCCCATTAGAAAGGTTGGGATTGATTTTGGGGGTTATTGTTTTAGCTGTTTAGGCATTAGCAATAGGGGCCAAAAATAGGCCAAAACAAGCATTTTTCTTATTTCAAGGCAATAACTTGTGTATACGTGTATGGATTTCTATGAAACTTAACCACAAGGTTCTATACCTCAAAAGGAAGGTTGGGATTGATTTTGGGGGTCATGACCCAAACCGAGTAGGAATAAGGGGCCGAAAAGGGGCAAAAAATATAGGATTTTCTGGTTTCTGGACAGTAACTTGCGTATAAGTCTATGGATTGCCATGAAATTGTACCACAAGGTTTTATATCATAAAAGGAAGGTTGGGATTGATTTTGGGGGATATGACACAAACGGTTTATGAAAAAGGGGCCAAAAACAATACTTTTGTAATACTTTGCTTATTTCTTGACCAATTTCAATGGGGTTTAATTCAAAGTCTTGAATTCTTGGGGTTCTTTATTATGCTGAATCTAACCGTGTATTTAGAATTTGGATTTTGGGCCCTGTTTTTGAATTGGTCCATATTAAGGTCCAAAGGGTCCAAAATTAAACTTTGTTTGATTTCATCAAAAATTAAATCATTAGTGTTCTTTTATATGCTGAATCTTACCATGTATTTGGAAATTTTAATTATGGGGCCTGTTTTCAAATTGGTCCACATTAAGGTCCAAAGGTTCCAAAATTAAACTTTGTTTGATTTTTAAAAAAAATTGTTTGGGTTCTTTGATATGCTGAATCTAACCGTGTATTTAGATTTTGGATTTTGGGACCGGTTTTCAAAATGGTCTACATTAAAGTCCAAAGGGTCAAACATTTAACTTAGTTTGATTTTAACAAAAAATCAATTCAAGGGGTTCTTTGATATGCTGAATTTAACCGTGTATTTAGATTTTGGATTTTTGGCCCTGTTATCATATTGGTCCACCTTGAGGGCCAAAGGGTCCAAAATTAAACTTTTGTTTGATTTCATCAAAATTAAAATCTTAGGGTTCTTTGATATGCTGATTCTAACCGTGTATTTAGATTTTGGATATTGGACCATAATAGGTAAAAGTCCAATTTCAATTTTTTCAGTTCTTTGACCACATTCATTCTGTGTCAGAAACCTATGATGTGTCATGTCAAATATTTAATCATAATCTAGATTTAGAGCTGTATCAATGTAATTAGATTTTTGATTTTGGGCCGTTTTCAAGTTGGTCCAATTTAGGGTCCAAAATTAAACTTTGTTTGATTTCAACAAAAATTGAATACATGGGGTTCTTTTATATGCTGAATCTAACCGTGTATTTAGATCTTGGATTTTGGGCCCTGTTATCATATTGGTCCATCTTGAGGGCCAAAGGGTCCAAAATTAAACTTTTGTTTGATTTCATCAAAATTAGAATCTTAGGGTTCTTTTATATGCTAATTCTAACCGTGTATTTAGATTTGAATATTGGACCATAATAGGTAAAAGTCCAATTTCAATTTTTTCAGTTCTTTGACCACATTCATTCTGTGTCAGAAACCTATGATGTGTCATGTCAAATATTTAATCATAATCTAGATTTAGAGCTGTATCAATGTATTTAGATTTTTGATTTTGGGCCGTTTTCAAGTTGGTCCAATTCAGGGTCCAAAATTAAACTTTGTTTGATTTCAACAAAAATTGAATACATGGGGTTCTTTAATATGCTGAATCTAACCGTGTATTTAGATCTTGGATTTTGGGCCCTGTTATCATATTGGTCCATCTTGAGGGCCAAAGGGTCCAAAATTAAACTTTTGTTTGATTTCATCAAAATTAGAATCTTAGGGTTCTTTTATATGCTAATTCTAACCGTGTATTTAGATTTGAATATTGGACCATAATAGGTAAAAGTCCAATTTCAATTTTTTTCAGTTCTTTGACCACATTCATTCTGTGTCAGAAACCTATAATGTGTCATGTCAAATATTTAATCATAATCTAGATTTAGAGCTGTATCAATGTATTTAGATTTTTGATTTTGGGCCGTTTTCAAGTTGGTCCAATTTAGGGTCCAAAATTAAACTTTGTTTGATTTCAACAAAAATTGAATACATGGGGTTCTTTAATATGCTGAATCTAACCGTGTATTTAGATCTTGGATTTTGGGCCCTGTTATCATATTGGTCCATCTTGAGGGCCAAAGGGTCCAAAATTAAACTTTTGTTTGATTTCATCAAAATTAGAATCTTAGGGTTTTTATATGCTAATTCTAACCGTGTATTTAGATTTGAATATTGGACCATAATAGGTAAAAGTCCAATTTCAATTTTTTCAGTTCTTTGACCACATTCATTCTGTGTCAGAAACCTATGATGTGTCATGTCAAATATTTAATCATAATCTAGATTTAGAGCTGTATCAATGTATTTAGATTTTTGATTTTGGGCCGTTTTCAAGTTGGTCCAATTTAGGGTCCAAAATTAAACTTTGTTTGATTTCAACAAAGATGTTTGTGCTTCATATGATAAAAATATAACAGTTAAGATTTGTATGAACTTCTTAAATTTCCAGGGGCGTAGGAGCCGGTGATAAGCCGGGGAGCAATTGTCCCTTTTTAAAGTGGGGGCAAAACATACTGCCCGGCTTTTTCTGGCCAAATTTTCTGCTATCAAAAATGAAAGAGAACACTGAATAACTTCTAGACTATTAAGCATTTTATTTTGGTTACCAATGGAAATTGTAAAAAGAAAAGATCGACATTCAAAAAGATGTCCCTCTTAACCTATAAAACTTCTATCATTCGGATCAATTACAATCAAAGTGATCGCTAGTATAAACCAGACAGTTGGTTTTCTCTTTTGAAGTGTTTCACATTTTATCATAACGGGGCCTTTTAAGCCTATAGCTGAATATACGGTACGAGTTTTGCACATTGTTGAAAGCCGTACCCGGTGACCTGTAACTGTTAACATATCTTTATTCTTTGGTCTACGGATAATTGCCGCTTCAAGTCACTGTGTAGCCCGTAAACCAGTGACATATAGACACTATTTCAATGATGAAAAGATGGTACACATGTATCTGGACACCGCAAGATTGCTGTTTGGTCACCCGCTACCTTGACGTCTCATGAAGGTCTCGCACGGTCGGTTTGACGATGCCAAAAATTCCACTTATTTTGATAAACTACAGCGTTAATAATAAGTATTCGTCGTCTTAATTTGTTATATAGATATAAGAAGATGTGGTATGAGTGCCAATGAGACAACTCTCCATCCAAGTCAAAATTTATAAAAGTAAACCATTATAGGTCACAGTACGGTCTTCAACACGGAGCCTTGGCTCACACCGAACAGTAAGCTATAAAGGGCCCCAAAAAATTACTAGTGTAAAACCATTCAAAAGGGAAAACCAACGGTATATATATATATAATTTGCGGGGCTCCAGTAGACCACAAGGTCACATTTGAAAATTTCCTCAGGTTACTTTTAAGCAAAATACAGGTCTAAACTACTCTGTTTCTCGGGATTGAAGATTCTCAAGGACCACATAGCCTTTTAAATGAGAATGCAGGT